TTAATGTATGGCTAGATGTATCTCAATTGCTAACAGCTGAGGGGATGATGTAAATCCAGCTAGGGCCCATGCAGGAAGCAAATGTACTGTAAGTCCCCATGGTCCCTAGTATGGTGATCTACCTTCAGTTGTTAGCGATCTATAGCCCATTTTTATATTGTGTTGTCCCCTATAGTTAAAATGTTTTAGATTCAATTACTAGTTTTACATATCTATCTGTGATACTCTAGTTGGTTTACTGTCCTTTGTCGGCAGGTTTTATAATCTCTCTATATATTCTATTTCAATGTCAAGTGTTCTCGTCACGATATGGCTGAAATATTGCCGATGTGACGTTAAATAATAACTCACTCACTTTATATATATAACTGTATCTATGTACATGACTGGATGAACTTAGAATACCTATCTGTAAACTATACCTTATAATAGAAACGAAAAATATGTACATCTTTATATGCATGACTATATTATCTATGTACACGACCGATGGAACCCAGACTCTCCAACTGGAAGGAAAAACAGGTACATCTTTATAAGTATAACTGTATTATCTATGTACACGGAATATCTATCTGTAAACTACACCTTTCAATTGAAAACAAACACATGTACATCTTTATACTGTGACTGTATTATCTATGTGTAAGATTGGCAGAACGTCTAATGTCTATCTGTAACCCACACCTTCCAAGTGAAAGGAAACACATGTACATCTTAATATTTATGATTGTATTATTTAAGTGCATGACTGACAGAACTTAAACTGTCTTCCTGTAAACATACCTTCTAAGTGAAAGGAAACACATGTAAAAATAAAAAAATATATGAATGCGTTATCTATGTGCACGATTAAATGAACTTAGAATGCCTATCTGTAAACTTTACCTTCCACTTGAGACTAAAATTATGTACACTCTCATACATACGACTGTATTAGCTATGTGCACGATTGCAGGAACTAAGAATGCCTGTCTGTAAATCCACCCATCTTTTTCAGTTGAAGGGAAAAAATTGTACATCTATCTATCTATGTATATGTGTATATGAGTGAGTATATGCATGTTACTGTATTATATATGTTGTAGAGTGGGAACAAAAATGGAAATAAAAAAAAATATAAAAAATCTTTTCTGACCCTCCTTCGTGCATTTAGGCTATCAAAAATCTCTCCTGCAAACATCCACTTTTATTAGAAATTATTGATTTATATAATGATCTTGCAACTGGCAAGTACGACATTGTCCCCTGTTGGTTACCCAGCCACGTTGGCATTTCTGGGAATACAATGGCCGATCTTGCTGCCAAGGCAGCACTCAACAAATCTGTGACACCACTTCTTACCCCGTACTCTGATTACACTGCTAACATTAGAAACCTACATCCGTGATCTGTTGCAGAAGAAGTGGGACACCCAAGTGGGTATCAATAAATTACATGAAATAAAACCCTATATCGGTTACACTTACTTGGGTTGTCAGTCAAGATTTGAAGAGGTCATCATACGACGATGTCGTATTGGCCACACAAGATATACTCATGCATACCTATTGAAAGGTGAGGATCCTCCGTTTTGTAACCCTTGTGATGAGAGAACCACGGTCAAGCATGTCCTGCTTGACTGTGTTGAATATTCCATCACAAGGGATAAATATTTCAATATCAAAACAGTAAAGGACCTTTTTAATAAAGTTAATTATCATTTAATCATTGATTTTTTTAAAAGAGATAGATTTGTTAAATGAATTTTGATGTGTGTTTTGTAAATAGATAAAGTTTTATAATTGGTAGTTCAGATTATCAACTTAGATTGTTAGTGGCTGTATCCTCAAAGGGGGTTGAAGTAGCATAAACTTCTTGTGTTCCGGAGAGGGTACGTAAGTCCCAAAAAACTTTCAAAGTAAAATTTTCACATACCATGTTTTTAAAAGTAGTATTTTTGTTCTTTTAAATTTCGGCTTAATTATCCTACAATCGCAAGCGGCTGAAGAGATGGAGTAAATCCAGCTAGGCTCCATGCAGGTAGCAAAAGTAATGTAAGTCCCCCATGGTTCCTACTATGGTGATCTACCTTCAGATGCTGGCGATCTATAGCCCGTGTTTTATATTGTATTGCCTTCTTTAATTACACTGTGTTAGTTTTACATGTTAGTTTTATGTTCACATCTGTTATACTCTAGTATTTTTACTGTCCACCGTGGACAATGTTTTCATTTTTGTATTATATACATTATTTTCGTCACGATATGGCTGAGATATAACCGATGTGACGTTAAATATTAACTCACTCACTCACTCAGATTTGCAAATTATTTCTAAGGTTCAAGTAAAAGCCTTAGGACAAACCTCTTTTATCATTCTCTTTGAAGCGGAATTACACCTTCCTTAGGGCAATGTTTAAAAAAATATATATATAACATGATTACTAACGTCATAATATTATTGTTCCTGCCCTTACTATCGGTAAGGCAATGTGTCTTTGATCCATCACCTCCGGCGAGTATTACGAGAAGCGCAGTAAGAACACTAAACTGACTAGCGCTGTAAACTGCTGTCAAGGATCCGAGAGCGTTATTTTACAAAATTCATTGCTAGATTTCAGCGATCAATTTAGTCCCTTAACACCAAACTACTTGAATGATGAATTTCGCTTAGGGTTGACCTTCAAACATTTTCAGGTGGGACTCACGTCAGGAAAAGTTGGGTTTTTTTTGCATTCTTGAAATACTGAGACATAAGAGATTTGGAGACAGCATGACTAGATAACTGGGTTCGAGTGCTATTGCCTTTGACATACATCAGAGTAAGGTTATAACGACCAGAATGAGATCCCATTCTAGAATCGATGTCGGTCTCTCGGCCGTGGATTAATTAATGGGAAAGGCGGAAGAGGATGCAGTATATATAAAGAAGACATCATGTGAAATTCAACTCTATCGTCTTTCAAGTAGGTTGCTTCGACAGTAGTCACACTACCAGATGCTTATTTTCCAAATCTAGGTCGTACCAGTGAGTGAGTGAGTTAAAATTTAACGTCACCTCGGCAATATTTCAGCCATATAGTGACGAGATATGTTGGGCATACACAATGAATACAAGTAGGTAAATAACCAGTCATAGACGGACTGTCAAACAACTATAGTATCACAGATATGGGTATAAAACTAGCATTGAAAACTAAAACATGTTAATTAATGCAGACAATACCATATAAAACACCTGCTATAGATCGCCAACAACTGAAGGTAGATCACCATACTAGGAACCATGGTGACTTACATTACTTTTGCTACCTGCATGGACCCTAGTTGGATTAAGTCGTACCAGAGGACCCAGTAATATGTATTATGTATTACCAAGCGGCGCGGACGTAGATGGCTTTGTCTGCTTAGCCGCCGCAATTAGCTCTGCAGGGTTAGGCACGCCAGGAACCTATGATTGTTGGTTTGAATCCCCGGTCCCTCCGATTATGTTTGTCGGTCGCTTGGAAACCATACTCGTCTTCCCCAAAATTCTAAATGTATCATACCTGTATTACTTATGGCTCGCCCTGTAAACGCTAGCTCACTCACACTGGTCTTGTTGCATGTTCTTCGTAATATCAAACACAGGGTAGTATGAACCAAAGTCATTCACAGGCTGCCGTCATGATGCTGACATAGTGCCGAGTGCGACTTTAAACGAAAAAACTAAATACAAAGTGATATTACAAAAACACTACGACAGATTGATTCGGTTCATATCATAATGACAATTGGGAATATGACTCAACGTCACATCTACCATATGTCAACGCATAACATTAACATTACGTCAACCCCACCATTAACAAAGAAAATATTCAATATACAATATCAAGACGTGAAAATGCAAAAACAACAAAGAATATGAAGATTTCCAAAGAGCTTTTTGTGTCATCACAATTAATTAGGGTTACTTGATTATCACCACTAGATATGGAAAACAATGTGGAAGTGAAGTAGATGCTTCTGAACGTTTTCACATCATCTTTTTTAAAAATAATATACATGATTTCAGTACTGTTTTTAACAGGGCGGCTTCTTTGGGTGTCCCTCCATTCCAGCAATTAGTCCTGATTTGGGGGGCGGTGGGATAGTCTAGTGGTCTAGTGCGCAAGGCAAAGGGGGCACGCGCTTTTGGTGTGTTGTCCCCGGGAGCGCTGCCCCTCAGGCCAACCAGCTCCCACCACCTGAGACCACACCAGGGGCGGTGGGGTAGCCTAATGGTTAAAGCGTTGGCTCGTCACGCCGAAGACCCGGGTTCGATTCACCACATGGGTACAATGAGTGAAGCCCATTTCTGGTGTCCCCCGCCGTGATATTGCTGGAATATTGCTAAAAGCGCCGTAAAACCAAACTCAGTCAGTCAGTCCTGATTTGCATATTCATTTTAAGTTAGCTATTAGAAGCACGTTATTGTCGCAAAGATTAAGTTCAATAAGTCTATTACAAAAAGTAAGTTCTAATAAAAAGTATTCCAGTTGCCCAACAGCACACTGCAAGAGGCACATGCAACATGCTTCCTCTGGAAATACCGCTTTGCGGAATTTCAGAAGAATCACGGCTCTCTCTGACAATGAATCTAGTTAAATGGTCTTTTTGAACTCAAGGATATAGTTACTGCCGTTATGAAAACGTTGGAAAAAGAATTTTGGATGAAAAATAAATAAACTCGGTTAAGATTCTCTCTGATTTCCACTGGCTTCATTGGCGCCGCATGCAAAATGACAAGGCAATTTGCCCCTGCCAAAACATAGCAAACATGACTGTGTTCATCAGGAACACGAATCCCCCTTGCCTATAGACCACACGGTATCTGGGTCAAATGGTACGTAAACTACCGACAAACAAGAAGGGTACTTAATATGATCTGATTTGTTTTGTTTATTTGACGTTTAAAGCCAATAATAGAGTCTGGACCGGACAATCCAGTGATTAACACGAGGGGTATCGATCTAAGCAGTTTGGATGTGTCATAATAGTCAGCGATCCTGACAGCCCGATCCCGTAATCGCCTCTTACGACATGCATGGGTTACTGAAGACTAATTCTAACCCGGACGAGTTCTAGTCATGGAGAAAAGAAACGGGCGGGGTGGAAATGACACATTGGCATTGCAGGCTTAAAAAGCGACTTCTAGGGAAGTTCACCTCAGGATATCAATCACACTGGGCAATAGATTCGGATATGCTCTTATAACTATTGCATTATTCTGTGCAATAACAGAAAAGCAAATACAAGCATCTACCATTAAAAACCGGCCCCATTTCCCGCTGTGCTGTGCAAGCACATGGACAGTATCTTTCCAGGCGGAATCGTGGGATACATCAAGTTATTACCCATACGGGCTAGGATACACAGGTGATTATATTGGTGATAATCGCACATGTGCTTTTCAGTAATTCTGAACGTTGATTGGTGAGCTAAGCAGATGAAGAAATATGATTAGTTGACGGCACTACTTTTCATGATCCAAATTCATTGACAACTTTTACCGTTTCATTGATAATTAGAACGTGCTATACTCAGACATTCCGAGATTTAAAAAGAAAACATAAAGGTCAAAGAATACGAATACTCTTTTTATTACACATTGTTATTTTGCAATAAAATTGCGTTATATATTGTAGTCTTTTTAAAATAAATAACAAGGGTCGGCACTGTGAACATTATTTCAACGCGGGCATATTTCCCGTAATCACTCGTACCTCGTTGGTTATTCTTTAACTCCTCAACCGTACTCAAGTTACTCAAGGTAAGTGCCATTAATGTTTCATCCATCAGTCCAATTTTGTTTGTCAGAAATGTATGTCAAAGGAAGACAGCAGTGTTATCATTTGCCAACTCTATTGACCATCAACACACCAGCTATGGGACTATTCCCGTCTTTGGCCATTTCATTTAGGACTGAATAGTCGTCAAGAACAGATGGGAACTTTGTCCATATAATCTATGACTTAATAATCGACAATATCAGATGAAAACAATTACTCCGAGCTCTGTCTTGTCTAACTAAGTTTTGTCAGAGCTGAAGACAGGATTAAAACAAGGGAGATTGTGTGTGTCTTTCTCAGAACCATTTTAGACAGTATTGATCTGTATTGATCACGAACCTTACAATAATTGTTCGGACGAGTTATTTTCTCATCAATTGTCTACGAATGTGAAGCGGACATGAAAGAGATGGCGTAACACTGGGTCTAGGCTAATGTCATGAAGCGCCACACATTCGGAGTGCTCTCTTAATGTTTCTTTGCTGGAATTATGAAAAAAGAAGGTGACATTACAGCAGAAACACGAAATCAAACTACAAAACATAAAAAGGTAAATATATTCACCACTTCTTTCATATGTGTCATTTCTTTGTCTTTGCCTGCCTAAAGTAATCACTGCTGTAGGCCATAAGAGATCAGATCTCTGTTCTTTAGGAAGCCCTGTGCATAGATATAACATTCTTGTACCTAATAGTGGCGCATCTGTTTACAAATCAAAATGGTTTTGAGGCATGTTTTGAAACAAACGATCCTTTGATCCTTACTTCACCTAGGCCGGTGGTAGAATGGGTTCGGTTCTATCATTCGGCTGGTCATGCCAAGCCTAAGTTTTGACTTATCTTGACTCAGTAAACTTTCTTTTGAATGGTCTTCTGTTCATAAAGTTGTTTAATATACCTACCTGGAGCATACACACAGAAGGCTAATCTAGTTGATCCTCTGGATCTACTGGAGTATAATATTCCTGTATCCCTTTGGTGTCAGTTTGCTAGTATAAAATTGGCCTTGTTGGCGCTCTGTGACGGACAGGGAGCAGGGTTACTCAGCCACAATAAATACAACCATGGCTAAACGTAAAACCAAAATGGCAACATTCAGAATCAGATTTGAAACATGGTTCTTCTTCTGATGAAATTGTTACAAAGTTACTCTATTCTGAGAGAGATACTTGGCCTCCTGTTCTCGTCATTGAAGCAAATGGTGAACTCACCCTTACTGTAAAACTATGGAACAGTGACCAACAGGCGCTTTGTCTGGTATCTTGAATCAAATGATTTGACAACGACCATTCAGTCTTGCTTTAGACATCAGAGGAGCACTATTGGTCTTCCTGGGAGATTGGAATCGTTTGTCCGAAATGGTTTTATTAATAGGCAACATGTTGTATCCATATTCGTTGACGCGCCTTTGATACGACATGGAAGTATGGTATCATGGTATGAATCTTCGAGGCCGTATGCTTGATGTATTGCACGATTTTTAGAAGACAGGATCTAAAAAGGCTTACTGGGTTCCACATCGTCTAATGTGTTCAGAAAATTGGAGTACCGCAAGGTAGCAATTTACCAGCTACTCCAGCGTTAGCAAATACATAACCTTGCAAAGAAAAGGTTATTCATATGGTCACTAATGATTTTTGAAGCAAGAAACGTGTTATCTTTTATAGTATCAGTACATCATGATCCGGTGTTATTCTTAGATAAAACTCAATCAAAGTGGTCAAACCGACCTAACATTTAGGAGAACCGTGGACCTGCTGTACGTATAGTTCAGCCAGTAAATCATATGTTCACCAGCTTTACTCCACGAATACACAATGCCATTTAGAATGTGATCATTCCAGCTGCGAATACCTGCCATATTACTGATACGGCCTAAAACAACATAATTTTACTCAGTCATTCTCTACTAAGCAAAAACCTTCACCCGGGTGAAAATGTCAGCAGTAACGTTATGAAACTGATAACCCATTACACTCCTAAGGTGGATGTCTCTGCACGTCTTACCAAGTGTTCGTTAATATCTGTACCATTTAAGTCAGATGAAATACCAAAAAAGCAATCCGTTGATCCGTAACCACTGTGCAGAACAAAGGACCAAACACAATACCGATCGTAGTCTGAAAATAGTCCCTAAAACTGCGCAGCTAAGACACAACCACATGTGTACTGTACACTGCAAAACTCTTGCTATCGTCTGTGGGATACACGTTAAAGTGCACGAGCATAAATGATCCACAGTTCAACGGACCGTTGTCAAGACAGCACGGGTTATCATAAAATAAAAACGACATGCCACGAGCGACATAGTGGTTTTGGGATAATTTATGGCAATCATCGGGCAAGCCTCATAATTCAGAGATGGCGTTCTTCAACGTCCGTGATGTTATCGTTCCCTTACCAAGAGCAACACTTTTACAACACGACAATGTTAAGAGTCATCCAGAATTCCACGACTGTGCTCGCCAGGCTTAAATCTAAAACACTTGTGACAGCATGTTAATGATCAGATCAGGAACCGGCCTCATCCCCAACGAAAACATGAACAGCCGGAAACTGCACTAAGGTACGACTGTTTACGGATTCAAGCTGCTAACGGCATAGATGAGACCGCGTTAGCAGGCTGGTTCCTCTCGATGACTTTGGTGGTGTTCCAACTGATGTTGTGGTTTGGGTTGGCTTTAAGATGGTCGGTTATGGCGGATTTAGAGTCTTTGTTTCTTACTGAGGCCTGGTGTTCTTTGACCCTAATGGTGACTGGTCTTGATGTTTCACCAATATAGGATTCGCCGCAGTCGAATTCTATCTGTTAGACGACCCCTGCGGGATCTGGCTTCTTTACCTGGGTCGATCCGCCTGTAGCCTGCAGGAGGTTCTATATAGTGTTGCCTCTTTGGAAGATTACATCAATGTTGGTTTGCTGCTTGAGGAGGTTTAGTGTCAGGGTCGAGGAACGATGCAGGGTATTTGTTGTAGTTGGTGAAGACGTGTCTCAGGTGGTCCAACTCGGTGTCTAGTGATGCGGTTGTGGAGCAGATGTTCTTGGCTCGTCTGGTCAGGGTTGAAATTATCCCTCTCTTGACTTGGATAGGGTGACTGGAGGAGAAATGGAGATACTGGTCCGTATGTGTTGGTTTGCTGTAGACGCTGGTGTTGAGCTTCTTGTCATCTCTCTGGACCAGGACATCTAGGGAGGGAAGCTGGTTGTCTGTTTCTAATTCCATAGTAAACTGCATCCGGGGGTGTTGGGAGTTCAGGTGTTGGAGAAGGACGTTAGGGTCGTAAGATGGAGGAAGGATGACAAAAGTATCATCTATTTTACGGAACCAGCAGATGGGTTGGATTGGGGACGTTTCAAGGGCGGTTTCTTCTAGGTGGGTCATGTAGATCTCAGTGATGAGGGAGGATAGTGGGGAACCCATAGGGAGGCCATGGGTCTGTTGCACTATTTTATCTTTCCATGTGAAGTAGGTGGAACTGATGCATCCGTTGATAAGTTTTATGGTACTGTCAGGGGAAGGGTGAGTGTCAAGGGTGGAGTGTATAAACAAAACATTTTCGCCTCATCCCTCATTTATTGTACAAACATCTCATGTATATATTTCACCCAAATTACTTCCTATGTACCACGTGCTTGACAACGACATTAGAATCTATGTTGAAACGTCGCCTGTATAGAATAAAGAATTTGTATATCCATAAAAATAGTCCTCATTCTTCATCTACCCAACTTCTAGAATGCCAATCAAAGAAATGTGAAACTCGTATCAAATACATTACCATTGAACAATCATTTCATTTGTGTTTCATTATTTCCCACACATGAAATCAATATATACTTTCGTTTGTGCGAATGAGTGAGTGAGTGTGGCTTTTCGTCGCGTTTAGTAACATTCAAGCAATACCACAGAGAAAAACACAAGAAAAGGGCTTCACACATTATACTCATGTGGGGAATCGAACCCGGGACAAGTGACCGCTTTAACCACTAGGCTACACAACCAGCTGACTTTTGTGCGACAGTTATCAAAAGCCCCCAAATCCATAAGATAACTCTGCTGGAAGCATAATGGAACGCACGACTATATCGTGAATGTGTATCCATGAATCACTGTCAAATAGTGGTGGTACCGGGTCTTCGCGAAACGTTGAGAATATCCAACTGTTTAAACTGAACAAAACCCATGGAAACGTATGGTCCAAGTTAAAATGGACACTATGTTTTTCATTGATACACTACATTTGGAAATGTCCTCCACATGTCCACCATAAAACTTCTTGAACGCTTTACTGAGGCTTTGACTGTGGAGCAAAAATCATATAATGCTGTTTGAAATATTGATCAAAAGAGCATACTCGATTTTGTTATATACCCATGTAAACGTATTGTAGTTATACAGGGGTGCAATACGGATGACGTGGTCAAATTCCATATTGCACCCAAGATTCCGTATTGAACCCCTTGAAAGTATGTATCACTACGCTATAAGTTGTTTTATTAAGTAACAGATTAATGCAAAATAGGAGGGTACATAATAAATACAGAACGCCATACTAGTGCATTTGGATGTTTTGTATTGAACTCGAAGATGTCATGGGAGCAGAGAGACAACTCCTTCTTTGAACTTGTTGTTTCTCTGCTCCCATGTACCAAAGTGGTTGTGAAGTGTCAACACCAATTGGTGCAGCTGCTAAAGTTAAACTCGGAAGTCGACTATTAGAATGTAGACGTCACCCCTTTTGTCACACATTCAACTTGGCAATGGGCATCCTTTAGTTCAAGGCAAATGAATCAGTGGAAGGGAAATGGCCCTGTGATTGCCAAGACTGCCTGTCCCAACTGACTGATAACTGGCCGTGTCATGTAATAACGTAATGCACACATTCCGTGAATACTATAGTAATGTTTGGGTACCGTGTGAAGAGATGAGAACTCTACATGTATTTTCGAGGATAAAATTCAAGATTGACATTGGATGCGTACATGGCACGCTTGCCACACATGTAGGGTTTTGGGTGGGATTTATCGTGTATTTAGTATAAAATGTTGGTGATCTACCTTCAGTTGTTGGCAATTCATAGCCTTAGAGTTTTAGATTTTCATACTAGTTTTAAAACTCTATCTGTGATCTTCTAATTATTTCACTGTCCTTTTCGTTTGAAATGTGTTGTTTAAAAGTATTGTAGAATTGTATAACTTGGTCAAGTCACAATATGGCTGAAATACTTCTGACGTGACTTAAATTAAACTCACTCCCCCACTATAACCAATATTTAATGTATCAAAATTGTCGAGTCTTGGATGAGCTAAAACATGTACAGATTGCGTGTATTTCTACAGCAGGATATTTGATAATCAAATGCAAAGGCATGCAGATGAATACAGTTATATGGTTTTATTAACACGCTCAACCATTTTACCCGCCATATAGCTGGAATATTGCTGAGTGCGGCGTAAAACTAAACTCACTCACTCAACCATTTTACAGATTCTTAAACATAAATATAATCATAAACTCAGTCATGTTAGTCTTAAATACATTTGCAATGCTGACATTATAATGGGTGTTTTAAAAACGTCCCTGTAAACTTGGTGCATGTTTTCTCGACACGAATTCATAGGAACGACCCATATAGGAACTAATCATTTCGTTCAATGTCGGGGCTGATATGTGCACCGGCTTGCAAGGCATATGGTAGGAACAATTTTCAGTATAACATTTCATCAGATGTAAATCGATGAATATCAGAACTATTATGACTTTTCACAGATCATCATTTTGCAAGACCAATCGAAAAGCTTACAACAAAGGTCAAGTATCACACCAAGTTCATTGTCACTAATGTTCGAACAAAATTCCAAATTTCATGACTTGCCATTTTGTAGCATTGCTCTTCTTCGGTTAAGTATATATTAATCATGACTTCAATCAACCTTTTTTGGCATTGTGGATGACATACTTAATTAATCCATACCACTTGGTTCGATAATACTTCGATACCTGACTGAATCTCAGCTGAGACTGAAAGTGTACCACTGTACTTGGGTTGGTTTGGTTGGTTGGTTGATGTTGATGATCAACGTCATGAGCATCGATTTATGCAATTGGGATGCGATGACATGTGACAACCAAGTTAGAGAGCCTGACCACCAGATCCCGTTAGTCGCCTCTTACGACAAGCATGGGTTGCTGAAGACCAATTCTAACCCGGACCTTCACGGGTCCACTGTACGTGGGAAAAACATGTATATCTCACTTGTGAGGGAGAGGTGTCAAACCTGTAAACAATTGCAACTCAATGCATTTGTATAATTCAGCAGAATACTTACGGTTTTTTTATCCCCTCACTGTTAGCTTACCCGCCCATTCAAGCCAAGTGAGTGTACGAAATTACATGTTGGCAGTTTTACATCATACACCTATCTGTCTATTACCAGTGAAGCAATGTTGTTTAATTCGACTTACCACAGAATCTTTTCAACACAAATGCAGATATTCATTCAAAAGATATTGCTGATGGATAGCTGAATTTATTTAAAATGACTTTTAGTAGATAAATCAAGCACATAAATCAGATCAGATACTCTTGTGAACTGGTTTGAGCTGAATAACCTTTATTCATGTAACCAGATTCATCCTGGGATAGAGTTCGGACTGCTTTCCATGCCGAATTTCGCCCGCACTGTTTTCTCCGTATCGACAATCGATAGAGATGGCGCCAACCTTTTTGATAGAACAATGATTCTATTTGTTCAGAAATTTGCGCATAAGCTTTATCTATTACTACTTAATTGTATTACCATTTTCATAGACAAATCACACAAGTGCTTTTACCTTTTTCCTGAATAAATGTGACACTCGTGCGACGTTGGATAGAAATATATTAGGAGCATTATATTCGAACAAGACGAATTATATTGTCATGTTTCATTTTATTACTGATTGAAAGAGATGTGTTAATATGGTTACTGTATTCGTTTCGATTCTCCGTTTAGATGCAATGATCAGTAACGCATGCATCGAAAGGTTAATTACTTCTTTTTGTATTCAGGTGCAACATAAATGTGCACAAATAAATTATTCACAATTAGACTTTTCAACTATGCTGAAGTCACAGGGATCAGAGCCTCATTATGGAATAATTTGCATACAGATATATTGCTTGGGTTGCGTTGACCGATACGATCACCTCGACTGTACTCGCTGAAAGACCAAACTTACGCACATCAATGACACTTTGACGACTTTCCCAATACAAGTGTGAAAAAACTTTCAGATCCAATAACCAATGAACTGACCTTTAGAATATTTTTTTTCAACGTTACAGTAACAACATTAAAAACAAAGGCAAAAGCGTTCGTCTGAAGAAGACACTCGCAGCATTCATTTCCGCAAAGGCCACTCAACATCCACTTACACTTTCCACACAGACCCCTTCTGCGTAATGCAGGTGAATAAAAAACACCATTTCAATAAACAGATTAAAAAGAATACCTTTAAGGATAGTGATTTTAGGAAGCTGTCGGGGTTTGTCTGACCTGCATCTCAATAGCATTATACGGGACAGAGAGTTACAAGCAGGGCACCAATGGTGGACTGGGAATAATCTACTGCTTGATCTCGAATAGACTTCTCATAAGGTTAACGTGCTATAACGATACCAAACGAAATTTCAGGAATCAAAAGATATCTTACATTGTGTTGTGAAAGACGTTAATATATTAGTGGTTTTCTGATCTCAATCTTAGGCATTTTGTCGTCCCTTGTTCATTTAATCAAATTCTGTACGTTTCATTTTATTACTGATTGAAAGAGATGTGTTAATATGGTTACTGTATTCGTTTCGATTCTCCGTTTAGATGCAATGATCAGTAACGCATGCATCGAAAGGTTAATTACTTCTTTTAGTATTCAGGTGCAACATAAATGTGCACAAATAAATTATTCACAATTAGACTTTTCAACTATGCTGAAATCACAGGGATCAGAGCCTCATTATCGAATAATTTGCATACAGATATATTGCGTGGGTTGCGTTGACCGATTCGATCACCTCGAATGCTCGCTGAAAGAGCAAACTTATGCACATCAATGACACTTCGACGACTTTCCCAATACAAGTGTGAAAAACTTTCAGATCCAATAACCAAAGAACTGACCTTTAGAATATTTTTTTTCAACGTTACAGTAACAACATTAAAAACAAAGGCAAAAGCGTTCGTCTGAAGAAGACACTCGCAGCATTCATTTCCGCAAAGGCCACTCAACATCCACTTACACTTTCCAGACAGACCCCTTCTGCGTAATGCAGGTGAATAAAAACACCCATTTCAATAAACAGATTAAAAAGAATACCTTTAAGGATAGTGATTTTAGGAAGCTGTCGGGGTTTGTCTGACCTGCATCTCAATAGCATTATACGGGACAGAGAGTTACAAGCAGGGCACCAATGGTGGACTGGGAATAATCTACTGCTTGATCTCGAATAGACTTCTCATAAGGTTAACGTGCTATAACGATACCAAACGAAATTTCAGGAATCAAAAGATATCTTACATTGTGTTGTGAAAGACGTTAATATATTAGTGGTTTTCTGATCTCAATCTTAGGCATTTTGTCGTCCCTTGTTCATTTAATCAAATTCTGTACAGCAGCTACGCCAAACCTGCTCAAAGCATGAGGAATTCGATTCGGGGTCTGCAACAAGCATGCATTAATGGATCGTGATCTACCAATTTACCAATACCTGGAAACCTTAAACACAATAAATCAGGTGTCGGGCTGTCCTCTCATGTTTCGTGGAATGACTTCTTTAGCAGAGTCTGAAAATCTCATCACATTGATTTTCCTGCAGAGGGTTTTGAAGGACTTGTGTGATCTGTCAGTGTAATTATTGATGTAAGTCTGTATAGGTATAACAAAGGTGAACTGTGGCATAAACATCACAAAATGTGTTCAAGTGTTAATATTACATCCAGGCTGTCAATTAAATGAATGTTCCATATACAAGCACACATTGAAAACGCACAGAAATTAATTTTAATGAAAATTGTACATTACTTGTAAAGAACGTCGAAGATCTGTCACGGTTTGGACTTCATGAACAAATTTGACATCCTGACATATTGGTAATCACAATGCACCGAAAAAATGCTTTCTCGTGAAATTTCTAAAACTACAAGGTGTATGTGGTTCTTCCTGCAGATATGCGGTATGAAGTAAATGGTTGAGAAGACAACTGCATTATCACTGAAGCCAGTCAGAACATGATGCTGAGATTGACGCTTGAGAAACGGGACCGTGTCACTGGCATGACTACAAGAGCCAGACCAATACCATTTGGATGTCACCAAGTACAATTACATGACTGCCCGCTACGTCAGCACATGGAAGGTACCAGAGAAAGACGTAACCCAAGGCATGTTACAATAGCTTGGAAAGGCACAGTGGGAGGGCTCATCTGCAGTGTACCCCTATCTTGTGTCGACGATAAGTACGCCGTCAGTACGGTACCCTCCTAACAACGTCCAAACACAAGGAACGTGCCCTGGTTACATACACCAGGGTTTTATTCCCTGGCGAGAATCGGAACGTTTTTACCATGCCTGTTTTGTGAAGACCAAGGGATGGGGAGGTGACAGAACACAGCTTCACTTCTTGTAAACATCGAGTGACTGTCTTTTACAACTAAGCTATTCTAAGATGCCACGTCCAGTTTCCGTCAATATCATGAAATGTCTACAGTGCAACAGCATAGCATATACAGCTCATGTACCCTATTTTGTAGACATCATAACTGTAACACACCACATGCACTTCTGAGACTACTTCAGACAGCGCATTGCAAGTCAATTTCAAATCGGCAGCCCGAGAGCAGGGGATATTATCTAGAGACTAATGATATCCATAACAAGGCGTTGTATCTCATGCGTTGCAAACACTTTATGGACAATGCCTTTTGATCCTTTGTGTGTTTACTGTACAATAAAACTGTGAACTGTCCTTGGTGGATTTATTAATCCCCTGTTAATTGGTATAAGATCAAATGGACTGGACGTCGACTTTTTTTCCTAACCGTGACATTTCACCCAAGGGTCGACGTCCTGTACAGACACCGGATTGACAGCATGAATTTTCAACTACGGGGTCAGAGTGAAATTGTGTGAAAAACCTTACACCATCATTTGGTTCAAAGTGTGATTATACATAAGTCCTAAAACCTTCAAAGTACATTTCAAGCATTTGTGTGATTTTAAATTCCCCATGGTCCCTAGTATGGTGATCTACCTTCGGTTGCTGGCGATCTATAGCCCGTTTTTTATATTGTATTGTCCTAATTTGAAATCCAGTTTTAGAGATAGATACTAGTTTTATTTCTGATGTCTGTGATATTCTAGATGGTTTTACTGTCCTTCGTTGACAGGCTTTTAGTGATTTACATGTATTTATGATGAAGTTTTATCATGTTTTAGTCACGATATGGCTGAAATATTGCCGATGTGACTTTAAGTTTTAACTCACTCGCTCACTCAAAGTGTGATTTTCACATTTTGCCTTTCGATGCATGTCAGCATATATGTATGGAATTGTACATCTCAAAACTCGGCCCTGAGCATCTAGGACGCCCAGTCAAATGTGCATTAGCTATGTATGTACCGTCAACCATAAACAGTTGTAATATTCATTGAATTGAAGAAGGAATAGATGCAGTGAGTTGTTCCACGGTTGTTTATTGATCGATATTCACCCCTTCGGTAGAAATTTAAGCCTGATACCACTGGATGTTGGGATATAACAGTCTCGCCTTTTAACTTGTCAGGAAACCACAGTACATGGAACACAGAAAGCTTGTCCCAAAATGTTCAAACATATTTAACGCATTCACCCGGAATTAGCTGACGAGTCTTTGGGAAATATTGCCCTTGTGCATGACATAGCAAATCCATTAAACCTATTCACAAACATTGGCTTGTTCAGCTGCAGTCAATTGGTGATCCTGCCCTTAAAAGAGACATAAAACTTTCAGTTTGGGCCAGTTTTCTCAACACCAGTTGAAGGGCGTCTTCTGATTACGTCGTCGATAAACCACGAGTAAAGATTTGGAAAGGCCAAATGCCTAATGGCTGCTGCAGTTCCCAGGAGGATTCAATCTCAGACTTTGACTTCTAAAAAAGCAAGTGAATTTCAAGCTTTGTGGATATAACATTATATATCGAACCTAAT